GGTAACATTACATCTGTTAATATGCCACATAACAGTAAAGGAAGTAATTCATAGTCTGTGGGTAACTTTTATCATTGATTCATCTATTCTTTTTTTGATTAGCTAATTGTTTAGTCTATAAAATAGTGGGAAAATGCCCTGCACATGTGCCCAGAGCCCGTGTCAAGCCTTATAATGACATGGTTTGTCAGATCAACAGTCCAAAATGCAGAGATACAGAGTTTTTCAAGATATAAAACAGAGAGAAGCAGCAAATTCTCCCTTTTGAGAAGCTTCAAGATGGAGAATGTTTGGGATATTTGCTTGACAATTGATATTCTTACAGCAGCACAAAACACAATGTTAGAGGTCTGAAACGTTATTATGAGATGTGTAAAATTATTTTCGGTTCATTTTGAGACTATGGCGGGCCGCCATGGTCTCGTCAATTAATGGGAAACACTGCATGTGTGATAGTAAACCATCTTTTATAGTTTGGACTATTAGTTGAACAAAAAAATGTCACCTAGAACTTAACTGGGAAATTGTGATGGGCATTTGTTTTACTATTTACCTTTACCTCTTACTGAACTCCAGCAACAAACAAACAACAACAATGAAAAATCGGTTTCCTCTGCTCAGGCATCTCGGTGGGATTGTGAGGGAGGCCATTCAGAAAATGAGACACAGACAGATGGACAGGGAGCCAGTCCCTGGCACTGTCCACAGTCTACAGTCCCCGGTAATAACTCTCCTTTCTTTATGGGACTCTGGCACACTTGGCAGAAGAGGTCTCGCCTTAGAGCCTCCATCCCAGACACCTTCCCATTATTCCCTCCCTCATTCCTCCATATCCTTCATCCCCCTCACAATCCCCCTGTCCCCCAACTCTCCTACCCCGTTCTCTCCCTCCCTCCATAACTTCTTTCCTTTGTTTTGAGAGCAGGAGGGGCAAAAGTCAAGGCTGCTGGTCACGGGAACAGTGTTGCCATGGAGTCAGGGTAAAAAAAACGGAAAAGAAAAGAAAATTGGGGCACTGTTGGGGAGGATCAAACAAGGGCTCCACTGTGCTGCTCCTGTGTCGAGTGATGCAGGACAAAGAGACTAGTACAGGTGGATGGGTTGTGCGCAGCGGTGTCATGTGTCCTTTACTGTTGATCAACATGCTGTCTCGTAAGCCAGTGGGTTTTAGTTTTATCAGTGTCTGATTTTATATTAATAACTGCCAGGAAATAATCTGAGGCTCAAATCCTTTTATAAGAGCAATAAAATGACACTGAGAAAGACCAAAGTTCTACCTCCCAAAGAAGTCACAAGACGGTTTTCTACTTTACTACATCAGGAAAAGTATAGCATTTTGAGCCCAAACTGGCTCTTTGTAAGGCACAGAAGAATCAAATGCTATAAAATCTTCAAAAATCCAAATCTTAAACTCCTCTACACTGCCAAAGAGCCAATTTGGGCTCAAAACATTGTACTTTTCCAAAAGTAATAGGAAAGCAGCTTCTTAAATGTAAGAAGATGCAGCTTGCAGCTTTTTTTAACCTAGTAAACAGAATATATTTGGGTTTTGTACTGTTGGGCAAAACAAGACATTTGGTGACATTAACTTGGGCTTTGAAAATGACAATGGGCATTTTCCGCAATTGTTTTACATTTTATTGACCAAAAGAAAAATTGGTTTCTCAAAATCAGCTAATCAGCAGAATAATTGATAATGACAATTATTCTTAGTTGCAGTTGGAGACTCCGTACAAGACAAAGACTTATTTGGGGCATTTGCTTATTAAGAGGGAAGAACTGTTTAAAAGAAAATTCCCTGAATACAGAGTAGTGTAATTTTACTCAAAGAATTTGCTGTAGCAGCAGAAACATGTCAGCAATAGTAGTAACAGTTGCAGTTGCAGTTGTAGTAGTACTATAGTGGTGTTTGTTTAAAACTGACTCACAAATCTCATTTTCAAGCTTGGCATTTTGGACACAGGTCAGGTCAGACACCCACCAGCCACAGCTTGAGCTCCACTACAACACAGAGACTCTATCATCTTCTGCTGATAATGGAATTCCAGTCATACAGTCACATGTCTCACATCTGTCAAAAACAATTAGGCCCCTGCCCAATGTAGGCTGGGACCTGCTGGCATCTACACATAGGGGTCTGCGAAGACTTCCTGCCCAAATACACCCCACTGAAAGATTCTCCTAGGACACAACAAAATAAGAAAGTAAAACTTGTGAGGGGTGGGGGGTTGATCTGCATGCAGTTGAGAATAGTTACATTAAACCATGTCTTAGAGAGACAATAAAGTTTTATTCTATTCTTACCTTCATGAAGGTAGGATTTATTGCAGGGCTGCATTAATTTACCTGGGCGTGCCTAATAAACTGGCACCTGAGTATAATCAGTAAGATAAACAAAATCCTCATGATTAGTAATTTTCTAACCATATAATTTCCAGTTAAATTAAAGTAAATCTTTGAGTTATACCTATGGATGAAGCATGATGAAGCATAGTACCTATGTGTCTCAACTGCTTTACCCCTGAGTTTACTATACAATCAATTAAGATGTAAGCACACATTTAACTTCATCAGAAAACATCAAACTGGACAGATAGCGGGATGTGAACCTGTTGTGATTTTTGGTGGTGATGTTAATTTTTTATTTGTTTGGCTAAAGTGTATCATTCCAGCCACAATAAGCAAACATCAAACGGCCATTAGATTTAATATTACTAATAGCTAACGTTACCGCCAGGAAGAAAAATTCTCCTTAGTGTTATTTTCTGGAGTAAATAGTTTCAAACTGATTCCTTTATGATCAATAACAAACCGTAGCTTATCTCAATAAAGTTGATAGTAAACAAACGTGAAGTGATTGGAGTCCCACCTGCTGTTAGTTACACATCTACCGTTACTAACAGTTAGGCTAATGTTGTTCACTCAGATACTTCACCTGCGACCTTGAACAACTTAATTTAGTTTAATCTGATAACTCCACATACTGCTTTTAAAAATCACTTTTAACCACCGTCATGTTGTCTTAACTTACCTGCGGTTTGCTGAAGAGGAATAAAAACCAAAACACTTCTAGTCCCTGTTTGTTTCCTGTCAAAACTCTCCTTCTGAAAGTTTGGAGCAGTTAACCCGACAGAAAATCAACGTGTTTCTGAGAGTTAATGTTAAAGGGGACCTATTTAATCTGAGGCTCACTTTAAAAAGTCGCGACCCCGCTTTAAAGACGCTGTCCCAGGCGGAGACAGAGACAACGGTTCCTTCACAGACAGCACCCTCTGAACAAGTGCTTTGTCCCGCCTGTCCGCGGTGGTGAGGCCCACCGCCCAACACCGCAGAAGCCCGACCTCTGGCGGTTGAACATGCCGGCTTTCAAACGCTAGAGGTCGGACTTCTGCGATTTACAGTGATCAGTCTTGGGCAGAGACTGTCAGAAAGAAACGTTTTTATTAGCCTACCAGTTAATAGTGGTGGAAAGAAACTAAGTAGGCTACATTTACTCAGATAGGCTACTGTACTTAAGTAAAATATTTCCCAGAGTAGCTTATTGTAGGTTAGCCTACTTTTTACTCCACTACATTTATTTGACAGCTTCAGTTAGTTACTTTGCAAATTCACATTAATAATACAAAATGTAATTACAAAGACATTACGATGGATAAAGAATAAGACTTTATTGATCCCTTGGTGAACTTGACAATCTAACGTTACCCAGCAGTAAATAAAATAAGCCACACCATTGCCAGATGCAACATTAAAGTAGCCCAATGTATGTAGGCCTACATATTAAAGCATCACTAATTCTAATTCAAAATTCTTATAATATAATGGGCCATACTGCACAATGAGCAGGCCATTTTTACTTTTGGTAAGAAGTGTATGCTGATACTTTTGTATTTTTACTTGTAACAGAGTATTTCTACAATTTGATATTGCAAATTTTTATTTAAGTGAAATATGAGAAATTCTTCCACCACTGCCAATGAATAATAAAAATGATAAGTGATCAGTGGCGGGATGTAACTAAGTAGCCTGCATATAATTAAGTACAAATTTGAGTACTTTTACCTGACTGTTTTTTTTTTTATCTCATGCCACTTTATATTTCTAAATATTGTAAATATTGTACTTTTTACTCCACTAGACTATAAGTTGAGTGCTTTTATATCCGTTTCACCTTATAAAGAGCATCTTTAGACAGCTGTAAAGTCTGATTTAGAAATTTACATTTAACATTTAATTTTGGGTAACTTCATCATAATGGTGTTTGTGGTCACTTATCTTGGAATATTTGCTAAATTACTTCAATACCCACATAATCAATCCCATTTTTTTTAAAGGTTCCCCTTTGCATTACATAGATAAAAGATGACCAATAGCATTTAACATGTTTGCTTTTCTGTGCTGATCTCTCATTTAGCAGAAATTTCTGGCCTTTCTGGCCTCTGGTTTCTCACACTCCTCTGTTGCAGTTTATCTCGGTTATCAATGCAATGCCTTTTGTTTGTTTCAGTGTATGAATTCAGTTGCATTCCTCCATAAGGATATACATCCTTTAAGAGACTAAATAACAGGACTGATTTCCTCAATAACTGTTTTAGGTGAGGATGTCTTATTCAAAATTTTAAGAAATTAGGCTGCATAGAACAAATTACCCAAATCAAAGCTTAAGAGTAAAATAAAAGCTCTGGCCTTTACTGCAGCAAACCAGATGATGACTGAACCTTTTTTATCTGAAAAAATTCCCATTACAAGAAGAATTTAAATCACATAAGAGTGTAGCCTGATTTTAGGGTTTTTGAGGTCCTTGAACGTTTTTTCTCATTGCCCGATGAAGAACAGGTATGATCAGCTGTCTCTTAAATGTTATATTCACTGAGCAATTATAACATTTGCAAGCATAAGCATGTATCTTTCACGAGATAAACAAAGCAACATACCACAGGAGAAGAGTAAATAAAGAAGAAAAACAAAAAAGCCCAGGGTGTGCACATTTTTAAGTGATTTAATATTTTAAAAGAATGCAACATTATGATGGAATAAACAAAATTATCAAACAGAATTCAGTTTTCTATGTTTCCAGGAAAATGCTATAGCATTTGTAATGTTGCTTGCCTGAAGTCTAATTCTCCTTCACTGGAAGTCAGTGAAACCTTCCTCGTTAAAGCTCTGGGTCAAAGAAGTACTCTACGATTCCACTGGAGAATCTGAGATACAATCATAATAGCGTCAGAAAAGGTTTATTAAAACCCATTTATAGAATTTGTAGAAAACATACCCTTAACTTGATATTACTGTTTTTAATGCATCAAATATAAACGTGATAGCCACTTGGATGCATAATCTTATATAATGTTGTCCCTGTTTTAAACAGAGCTAAAGAATATACATGTCAGGAATTGTCTACAACTTTATTATACTGTATGTCTACAGTGTGGTATATTTTCATTTTACTTTCCCAAACAACCAGTGTTTGGGTCATTTTGTGTGGTGCAAATAATAAGGGTCAGGAATGTATTACCTCTCATGCTTACGGTCTCACATACAAACTCACGCAAGAGAAATCAAGTTCACTCAGTTCATTTCCTTGGCACAGCGCCATAATCCCTGCCAGGTCAATGAAAACATTTGGCTTCATTCACAGTAGAAAGCCAAGGCAGAGGCCGGATCACATTATATTACAAAAATGCGTCTCATGTATATGAAATGTCTGTGAAGATAGTGAGTCGTCCTGGTCATGGAATATTTAGAAATACTGAGTTAAGGGCAACATCTAAAGCAAATCCAGTTGCCCTTGACTGAGTTTGTCTAGATATCTATATGAAACACGTTGTATTTATGAGTTTGTGACTTCAATTCTTACATTTCTTCTATGCACCTAAATCAATTTAAAGACATTTTTCTGGTCAAAACCTTCACCTATGATGTGGAGATTTAATTTCATTTGAAGAAAGCAGTGTAGTTACATGTTCATACACTAGGTGGTAGCATGGCTTTATTCTCTGCACCATTTCCCCATGTCCAGCCACAAAGGCTTTCCTTTCCAGAAGTCAAAATGACAAAATATTTATTTAATTTATTTAATCAAAGTAAATTATGTCCAAATATTTTTATAGATTAGTAAGAAAGGCATGATCCTTAATGAGCTTAAATACCAGTGTGCTCTGTATCCAGCTGAGTTGGTTTAAACAGAAAAAAAGCTAAATCTAAAGAGAAATCCAAAACACACCTGCCTCTGACTTAATACCTTAGGTTATTAAATCTCTGACATGACATGTTTTCTGTCTGTGCGGGTGTGTGTGTGAGAGAGAGACAATAACACCCAATGAATGTAGTGTAGATCTTGAACCCTAACTGTTCTGTATCCTGATTGGCCAGATTAGAATTGTGAATAGGCAAAGTGCTGCAGCTACAGCCACGCCCCCAGTTACTGTCACCATGACGTCACGATAAAACCAAACACAGTCTGGGCAGCAGGCCTCTGTGCTGTTGAAGAGGAAAGAAACGGAAAAAAAAGGTAAATTTTTTAGTTAAACTGTGACCCAAAAAAAAAGCATCAAAGTTGCTGTGTTTGAGAAGTGAAAGGTCAACTGTGTCCCACATGAATGTTTCACATCTTGAGAAAAATCCTCTTTTTGGTGAATTAATTTTGTAGAGAAAGAAAACATAAACACCACACCAATGTCAAGTTAAAATATAAGGCTAGTACTGATCTTTAGGTTTCTTACTGAGAGCAAATTGCATGACAAGACCAAAACCATTATTTGGTTATTATTTAAAACCATTTTTGTCAATATTGTCTTTGACTTCCCTATCCTGTCTGTAGCGTTCAGCCCCAAGTCCATTCATCCTGAATAGTAAAAACAAACAAAATCATAATGAAGAAACATGTCACCCACTACAACGGCATGGCTCGTGTTTTTAATCGTTTTTGGACTATTAAACAGTGGAGTGTATGACATAGAGGAATAATAATATTATCTTTTCATGGGATTTGATGACGATAACAAATATAGAAATATGATCAGTAGCTTTTTCCATTAAAGCAATCAGGGGATTTGGAAGTTGTTGCAGACTTATAATCAATGATAGGAAATAAAAATAAATAAATTCTGCTCCACAACAATATCTTTATTTTTAAGATTTTTCACTTTTTGTATGATACAGTACAGTTTTACCTCTTCAGGTCTCTAAAAATAATTGAAATGAAACAGTCTGACAAGAGAAAATTGCTCTTTGACTGAAAATCTATAGACATGCAGCCTGCGAAGGGGGGCCTGAAGGAGATATTTCTTCATATTAATGGGTCAAAGCAAACAAGGTTAGAAACTACTTATATATATTTAGAAAACAGCTGCATCTTAAATTGCATTCTGGCCATGCAGAAAAAAGCTCAAAGAAGTGGAAGCAGAGAGCGCTTTGTGGTTGAACTGCCTGTAGGAAATGCCTACAATTTTTCTGACAGCTTCCTCCAAACATTCCTTTTAATGGCCTGTCAGTGAAAAAGACAGCTAAAGGTAGCGGAATTGTCAGTCACAGACTCACCTGCATGGTCTGAAGCTCTGAATGAGGATGACCCCCACGCCATTCGCCACCTTGTCTGTGAAGCTCATCGACCCATAAACAAAGGCTCCACTTTGCTGCCAAAGAACACAGAGATCAAAGATTATTACAGGCACTGTGGCAAAGCACAAAGGAATGAAATGTGAAATACCTGCACAATGCTCTCTCTGACACACAATAGACTCTATGAGCATTTATCCAGTATTCTCATTCATCTTTTTTCAGACAATGTGGGTGAAGAAAGAGACACCACTACAAACCCACCCTTTTATTTTCCCAAAGCATCTTCTAACATGACTGACTGATTTAGTATTACAACATGCATACACACACCTATAATAATAATAATAATAATAATAATAATAATAATAATCTTTATTTGTAAAGCACTTTTCAAAAACAAGTTACAAAGTGCTTTAACAAGTGTAAAGACAATAAAACCCAAAAGACAATAATACAAAATCAATACAAGATAAAAGCATGAAAACATTGAAAAGACTAAAATACACGTTTAAGATAAATATAAAATAAGTAAAATAGAATAAAATAAAAGGGATAAAATAAAGTCAAATAAGATCGGGAAAGGCTCTCCTATAAAAGTATGTTTTAAGAAGGGACTTAAAAGAGTTCACTGACTCAGCCGACCTGATTTCCTCGGGCAGGCTGTTCCAGAGCCTCGGGGCCCTGACAGCAAACGCTCTGTCCCCTTTAGTTTTCAGTCAAGACTCTGGAACAGACAGCAGACCTCTGCCCGAGGATCTCAAGGTACGTGCTGGTGTGTATGGGACTAAAAGGTCAGAAATATAACAAGGCGAGACACCATGAAGAGCTTTAAAAGTGATCAATAAAATTTTAACGTCAATTCTAAAACATACCTATCATACTGTCTTACTGGATGGCTGATTCTTACGTGACAATTAAAACAAAAAGTTTGCTGGTGGCTTCTGCCTTGGGATCAGGTTTCTCTTGATCTTGTCTTGAAAATTAATTATAAAGTAAAAAATTGTAAGAAAAGATAAATTCCTTATTTTATTTATTACCAACCCCCCCCCCACCCCCGCCCCCCCTCACCCCCGGTGAAACAGTGTGGCTCATTTACATGTTTTTAATAGGATTTAATAGGATCATTGGAGCTTTTTGGCACAGGGGACTAAGATATATCAGGCTTTGGATACACAGACAATACTTGTTCATAGGATAAGTTTATTGTTGGTATTGTGTTGACAGTTCCCCTCCACCTACCGTCCGTTCCCCGATGAGCGTGGCTGTCATGGACAATGACATGACCAGGATTGTGGCTGAACCGCTTCCCAGCACCACGGCTGCTCCATAGATCCTCTCAGATGCAATGTTCTTGTCCACAAACACCCAGGTAGCAAAGCCAAGCACCAACAACAGGCCGGCCAAATAGGTAATCTAACAACAGACAAATAAATTTCATTTTACAACTTTCTTTTCAATCACAAATGTAATAATCATTCAAAAAAACATGAATTAAGGGAGTGTTGCTTCCAATATGGCGTGGATCAAAATGTATGTATCTTAATAGGTAGAGACTCACACTGATTCCTATGAGCTTGCTGACTGGTTTCATGGCCAGAGAGCAAACAAAGCCGCTGAAATACATCACAAGAGGTATGATGGCAATGAAGTTCTGAGGAGAGAGGAGGAAACACTGTATTTAAATTGCAATACAGATGTTTCACAAACAGGCACTACCCTAATGAGTTATGCAAGTCACTGTATAAATACAAACTGTGTGGCCTTACCTTTGGTAACATCAATGAGTTGGTGAGGTAAAGTGAGATGTAGGTCTGAGATAAGTTGACTATTAGTCTTGTGCACATATAAAGGAAAGCCATCTGGTACAAAGTCAAACAAAGGAGACAATTTTGTGTTTTTGCAGCTTTAAGCAAACAAATCTAAAAATAATACAGTGTATATTTGACTTTTCTATTGAACATTTTGAATGCATCCTAAACAGTTTTAGATTTTTGGAAGTATTTGTTTAAATAGCACTCTAGGCAGCCATTGGTTTCTACTTATGTTAATGCAATAAACTCTATTAGCATACCTGAGTTGCCTAAGGCACCATAGTTAGGGCTGGGTATCGTTTGAAATGTTTTGATGCCAGTGCCAGTACTGATACCAAAATGACGCTTTTTTTTGTTGTCTCATATGGAGAAATATAAAATTGTTGAACTTTAAAAAGATTTTTTCTCTTATATAATAAAAGTATAAATATAGTAAAGCCTAACTTATCATCTGCATATCTGTTTTTCTTTTAAAGAATGAAGTTGCATTGCATACCAACATTACTCTTACTATTATTTAATTGAGGAATTATCTGATCAAAAAAATCAGTAAACAAAGCTAAGACAGTGAGCATTCGCTGTCAGATTTTTGTACTGGAGTTTATGCTATGAACACTTTTCGTTCAGTGCTCAAAAAGTATTGAGGTCCAAGACAGAGTACTAATCACAGTCACATCAAGTTTGTATTAGTTTTGCTAATGTTATATAAATTATATTTATTATAGTTGGTGGTAATGTAGTTTAAATGCAGATTGATTTGGAAAACATGTCCTGCGATACCCCATAATACTAATGTAACTTTGACAAAAATTAATACTGACTTCATATTCACTGTGGATTACACAACCCAAACAGGTTTCTACCTTGTGCTAATGGATTGTCACACATTACGAAAATGAATGAAACAAAACAGTTGCCGGATAAGATAGTAAAATATATTCAAATTAGGAAACACAGAAAGTTGATTTGCAAATGGTAAGCTACAAAGTACATATGGTTAAACTAAACAAAAAAATTATATCCAGAGGTTCAATGCCATTCCCTGAGAGAAAAGGGAAGAGAAACTTTCTGAATCAGCAGAAAGTTACCCAGCACAGATGTAGAAGTCACCTGGTAGAAGGAGGGCTCCTTCAGCCAGTTGTTCCACTGAAATACAGGACGAGGCAACGCTTCCTGTGAGGTGGAAGGTGTGATCAGCTGACGCTCTGTCCCTGAGGTTGATGCATTCTCTTTTGTGCCGACGTGGAATATCAGAGAGAATAACGCTCCAGTACCCAGCATAATGAGGGCCAGCGTCTACGAACACACAGAAAGAAAGAAAGAAAGAAAGAAAGAAAGAGATAAGGTGGAAATAACGATTTTGCAGGAGTGTATATACTGAATCTCTTTTCTTCTTACCCTGAAGAGAGGGATGTCCACCTTGCCCAGGGCGGCGTCTGTGATGGAGGGGTCCACATTGTGCTGAGCCTGGAAGTGAAAGAGCAGCCAGGCCACAGCATACACTGTGATATTTGCCACCACGGTGAAGGCATATCTACACAAGGAGGAATATAATTGAAATTATCAGACAGTAATGTGGTTGTTACAGCTTACAGTAATGTGGTTGTTACAGCTTACAGCAATGTGGTTGTTACAGCTTACAGCAATGTGGTTGTTACAGCTTACAGTAATGTGGTTGTTACAGCTTACAGCAACGGAACAGTAACAGAAGACAGAGGCACCTTGTTCTTGCTTCAATATTCACAAATAAAAGAAACAAACAAAAGCTTCTAGATTTGAGCTGTTCTGCATAACATGAGGACATTTCAAGAGAGTTTCTTCTGTTTTCAGCTATTGCTATTTCTGCCTTTTCTGCTATTTCTGCCTTATTGTTTTACTTCCACTGGCATAATAATCGCTTGAATATGATGTTTCTACTAGCTGAACACAGACAGTTTGGTCCCTACTGCTCTCATAATTTGGACAATGGAAGAGGAAGAGGAAAAAGGAATTAAAGGAAGTCATGACAACTTTGTAAGGATGAGAATCAGGCAAGGGTTGCATAGAGGAAAAAGGAGTGACTGGGAAAGAGGCTGGGTGGATGAAGGGAAGATAAACAATGGAAGAACTGACCCATCATTTATGTTTTCAGATTCAGGCAGATTAAAATATTCCAGTCTGAAAGCTATAATCAGTTGTGGTGACTTTGGGGTACTTTTGCTGACAATTAAAACCAGAAGTTTATTACCGACTCTTTACTCCTGATTCAGCTGCTCCTCAAGGCTCGATTCTGACCTATTAAAGCTGAATGTAAACTGCAACTATAACTACTTGTGTATAATCAACAGGAATTGTTTCTTATGAATATAATTATAGTAAATTTAACTATGTTCCACTGTAACTAAACTGATTAGAGATTAACTTAGACGCTGCTGTAAATGTTTTTGGAAAGTCCAGTCACACCAGCTTTGCTTCCTGGATGGAAAATATGTGACTGCAACAGTGAAATTCAGCTTCAGAGATTCCTTGTAAAGGAGAAAATGCAGCTGTCGCTTGTCAAGGTGCAGAGTTCAGAACAGACATTTTTAGCATTGCAAGATCATGTTTACATTTACATTAGAGGACTAATTCACTTAATTTATCATTTGTGCACCTCAGTTAACCAACTTAAATGAAACACATCCTTTCTTACTTACTAAACAGCTCAGAGACAAATTGTGGTGATGATTCTGGAGACAAATCCTGAAGCTGTGAATAATTAAAAACTGCTTGGGCACTGACAGCACTGAACGCAATTAGAGCTGAAACAATTAATCCAATAATCGATAAGTTGATCAACAGAAATGAATCGCAACTACTTTGATATTAAATTAATAGTTAATGAATGAGTTCCAGCTTCTCTGTATTGAGGAACTGCTTCATATCTTTATCTGATGTGATGGTAAACTGCCGATCTTTAGGTTTTGGACTTTACATCACGTTGTAATGTCTCCTTTTGTCTGGTCTGTAGGTACTAACTTTAGGAAATCCTGTTGTAAAGTATATATATTATAAAATGTCGATGCTTTTTTTCTTTTAAAGATTCAAAGCCCATATGAGTTTAATAAAAAAAAGAATAAAACTGAGCAAACCGGTTTTGTTCAATTTCAAAACGTGAGTAGGCAGCACTCTCGTCCAGGGCGTGTGTGATGATGCCACCTCACCTGTATGCAGTCAGCTCCACCTTGCCGCTCTCAGTGGACACCAGCTCCGGGATGAGGGAGAGGTGCGAGATCTGAGTGGCGGCCCAGCCAAACTGGAAGACGATGATGAAGGGGGAAAAGTAAACAATCTGAGCCCACTGAGGAGCGTTGTCGTGACAGGCCAGGCAGGGGTTGAAAATGAAGGGGAAAGATACACAAACACAAACAGTTCCTGGAAAATAGAGAAGAAATCATTTTAATCTCTCTAGAATGTTATTACACGTTGGCCTAGTGTTTTGAGCATTTATTTAGGTTTAGAAAAGCACCATATAGCCTAAACAAAATAAGTATTGGGGGTTGTCACTAAAAAATCCTGTAATCCAAATAGCCTAACTAAGCACTTTTACTCTATATTAAGTACAATTTTGTGGAAGAGTATAGGGTGAACTCAGCTAAAATAGGCAATCAGGTAAAATGGGCCAAATAAGGTTGGAGCTTTATAGCTGTCTAAAATTTTACAGCCAATCACAATTACGGATCTTGAAGTGTTGCTACAACACTAGTTGAAATGTAAAAATAGTTTTAATTGGTCTGAGATGTCTATAATGGGCAGGGCACAGCCTACATGAAGTACATCAGAGAAATCCTTTGGAAAATGACCATGACATAGTAAATTTTGCCCATCACTAATAAGGATGATAAAGCAATTATAAGTAGCAAAATGTTTATGAAAGATGCTTTGCCAGGCTCTTTCAAATAAATAGTTCAAATTTGTAAAGAAACTTAGATTTTTGTGAAAATGGTAATTTTAGATACTTTTTCAGCCAGCTAAAATGAGCCATGTGCATACACAGCTTACTGAAAATTGAGGGTGCAAAAGCAAGTTTATAGGTTTATATGTACATATCCATAAAATTAAATGACTTTATGCACAAAACCAACACAAAGACACCAATGTGCAGAAACACACCACCATTAAACACAATCAGTTTTGAATGCATTTTTAAATGAAATATTTGTTCAACTTTTTATTGCATTAAATGTATCTAAGATGTTGGTGGCACCCCAAAGACAATATTCAGCTAAAATGAGTGTGTTGTTCTCTTTACATTTAACCTAAATAGCTGGCCCAGAGGCAACATGCTGATACTCAAACTCTCATAATCATAAAACAAGTAGACGTTTTCACATTTGTTTAGAAATAAATATTTAACAGACCCATGCCAATTTATAAAAATGTCATTAGATCTAATGCATAGCTTATTGGATGGTCTTATTAGTCATTTACCAAAATTGCCCCATTTTAGCTGACTTCACCTAAGCCTACAGCCAACTATATTTCAGAAGGCTTAAAATTACTTTACCTTTATTTGAAAGCCCTTTATACGATTGTGAGGAACAGACGGTGTCCGCTACTTACCCAGCAGATGCCAGGATTTTCTCTTGCCGTAGATGCCCGGTGTTCTGTCGGATTCATATCCAACCAGAGGCGTACAGACGCCGTCCGCTATTTGACCAATCAGCAGCATCACACCTGCATAGGTGCTCTGGAAGCCGAGCACGGAGTGGAAATAGACCAGCAGATATGTGAACCACATGGAGGCGCACAGGTCGTTTAGAAAATGTCCCGCTGCGTAACATATCCGCCTGCAGACTGATAAAGACCGATCAGCAGGCACAAACTGCTCCATGATTGATTTGATTCCTGTGATAAAACTTCCTTTATTCACAATTAGAGATCTGTCGTTGTCATATTTACAAATACATACTGAAAATAGTTACACTAACAGACGCTGAGCAAAAACACAGTTCAACCTTGGTCTGAGCATCTCCAAAAAAAAAAAAGTCTCCCCAATTAGATCTCCTACAAATCATATAATAAACGCAGTGTAGCGGATTATGCCAAGCTGGATCCTACGCTGGTCAGCTGAAGCGGTTTAGCTTTCATCGCCAACAAAAGCTTTTTGAGCGATCAGCGGCACGGGATACACTGACGGGCGGCTAATAACGCGTAAAAAGCGTACTGGTGCACCCTGTGTCAACATTGCACCAGCTGGGTATTTGTTTTGTCTTTAAAGTTATTATACAGCTTTGCAATGTACACGCCTCCGGTGTAGACTAAATTAGATGAATAGTCAAAGTGTGGTCATGAGTGCATTTGAAAACTCGTGAGTTACAATAATGTAAGGAAAAACAAACAGTTCCTCTTTCTGTTCTTCACATGGCGAGCGATTCAAGCACGGGACCCACTTAAGTCTGCTGTATCTTCCTTGTACAGATATTCATTTCTCCTTCACAACTTAAAATCAATTAGGTTTGCAGACCCTTCAGAATCTTAAATATAAATTTCGTTAAAAGCTGACCAGATTATATGCAAGCAACATGCCATGTTCTGAGTTTTCTCCTTTGCAATTATATTTGGGTTTTAAATTTGCTTTACTTTTGAAATTTAGCTCCTCAACTGGTCTTTGATGTCTTTTTTGCAACAAAGTATTTTGTTTCAACATATTAGTAAAGCTTTATACAATCGTAATATTTCCTTATGTAAACTTTCCAGTGAAAAACCTTCTCTCAACTATTTCGTGACACATATTGAATTCATGCCAATAAAGCTAATTTGAATTGTGGTGGTCTTGGTCATAATTAAGATCACACAGTGCTGACATGCTGGTCAGTCCGTCCTGTTTAACAAAGTTATAACCCCGACAATGTCATAGTGATGTTATCAGTTATCTCCACCTGGGCTTCAGATTTAACACTTTTAATATAAAGCATGAGTTACAAACTGAGTATGTGAAGTTTAAAGGAGGGTGGGCATTTAGGAGGCAGGAAAGTGCTAATTGACCCATATTAGTCAGGATATCTTGGCTTCTGCTGCTTTGATTTTGAGCTTCTTTTTAAAAATCTGTCTCTTGTTGTGTCCCCCCAGCTGTATGCTAGCACTCCTTTAAATAACTTGAAGGGGAGAATTAAACAATGCTGAACACACACAGAGGACCAAGCCAGACATACCTTATTTTGGTCAGGAAACAAAAAGAACACAAAACAAATGATCGAAGAGATGCACGAAACTAGAGCTGCAACGATTAATCAATCCAAAAAATAATTTATCAGGAACAATTCTGATAATCAATTAATCATTTAAGTCACTTTTTAAGCAAAAAATGTAATTTGATGGTTCCAGGTTTTCAAATGTGAGCATTCACTAATTTTCTTGGTTTTACAATATAGTAGTGAATATTTGGAAAGACAAAACAAGACATTTGATTGGCATCACTGTGTGGCTCAGGATAATGTAATGGGCAGTTTCCACAGTTTTCTGATGTTTTATAGTCCAAATGATTAGTCGGTTAAACAAGAAAAATAGTCAGCAGATTTATCAACAATGAAAATAATCACTTGTTGCAGCCCTACATGAAACTATTGTTAGCAGCAGCAAGGAACTCAAAAAAGGGCAATTGTTTCTTTCCAATCCGGTACACTTTGAATTTGCCAAGGTTCCTTTGTTTTCAGGCTCAGAAACAACGGCCCATTAATTTGAGAGACATGATGTACCTTATAAACAAGAAAACCTCATTCAGCTGCATGTCTGTCTGTGACCTACTGACAAAGTGAAACGGCAGTTCAAACAGATTTGGGTTGTTGTCTGATGGATCTCTGAGCTGGCAGCATGTGTGCACACGTTCACACGCGCACACACAAACTGTCCTGATCTCTCTCCAAACCAAACAATGCAGTGTACAGACGTGTTGATTGTCACAGCAGAGGACGAAGGGAGGAGATGTATACTGCTTATTAGTGAGGGCAAGGGATGTGCACACAGTCATTGAACATATTCACTTACAGAAAACCTCCAGATTTTCTCACACACACACACACACACACACACACTAAAACAGACACACAGTAATCCAGTGAGCATTTGGGACAGATTAGATAAAATGTCATTGCGGGACACTCACTTGAGCTTTAAACATTTTACTTAGAAAGGCACAAACTATGATTTCCTGGTAAATTATTTTGATGTAAGAAATAAAATCCGAAAGACATTTTTTTTTCTCCTCCATGTAAATCGACAACATTTTTCAGCCATAACTCAGATATAAGCGTTGAATCTTCCTAGATCAGTCTTTATTAAGTTGTTTTCTTAATTGTTAATTTCAAACCTAAAGTTTCCACTGTAATTGTTTTCTTTTTTTTCCAAAAGTGCAATAATAATAAGAGAGCTTAATATCTGTTTCTCTCAATCTTCCACAGTACCTGAGGCCAGTGACTGTGCTACAAAGTCCATGTTGACAGACAAAAAAAGAAAGCCAGAGTGAGGAAAAGAATTGAACTCCAGAACACTACAACATAAAAATAAGTTTTCAATGCAGGGATTCGTCTTCGAAAACTGAGGATTCAATTACAAAAAAGAAGGAAAAAAAACATAATAATCCTCCAAATTCTGTTTTAAAGATGAAATGCTTCCTGTGTCTTTGAGATTTAACTGAGCACAGTTCACCTTTTCCTCTTTACCTTGATCCCAAAACACACACCAAAAAAAGAAAAAGAAAGAAAGAAAGAAAAAAATTCTCTAAAGAGTAAATTTCTTTCTTTTCACTCGAATGGTTCCCCCTGATCCTGTTGGAACAATAAGCGTTCTTTATGGAATCTAGAATACAACAACTGTTTAAAACAGTATCTTATATCATATTCACACCACGGTATTCGAGTTTGTTACAGCTTTTTTACTTTTTCCTCAAGCCCCCCGTTGTAATGCAGGTACGTTTATTTTTCGTCGGTAAAGGAATCAAGAGTCTGTTGTGTGAACATTCCTTTAACTCTCCAGTAGCCGGGGAGCACTGAGAACGAGAAAGAGAGAGCGCGAGAGGGTCGGGTTGGGGGAGTACAGAGTGATAGGTGAGAGGGATAAAGAGGTGAGGGGGAAGCTAGAAAGAGATAAGGGACAGGGCGTCTGTGTAGTTGCTTCCATTTAAAACTTGACAGTGACCACAATGTTTCAAGTTCTCTCCGTTCTCTTCTTTCACTTGTGCCTCTGGAGGGCTTTCCTCTTTCTCCTTTTGAAGAAACAACAGCACCTGCAGTAAAAAAAACACATTTAGGAAATGAGATATTGGTATACAGCGCTTAAAATGCTGCTTGTTAGGGTTGGATGTCAATATCTGGTTAAATTTTGGATCTGGTTTCCAGTTAGTATGATGCATATTTGCTAAACTATGATAAAACTTTGCTTCTTTATTAGCAAAAAGCAATGAAGAATACATTCAGTGTATTTATACATACACTTAAATAACTTCCTCCAGTAAACTGATGACTTAAACATCATGGAAACAACAAACATTGGGGCAGCGGAATAGAGAAACTTAATTTCCCCAGTGATATTTTTGACAAAGACTCCCAAAGAGAGATAATAGGAGGTACGTTCTCGCATTCAAATAAATTCTGTTTAAATTCAGACTAAAAACAGAAACTAACACAAAGTTTCCTCTCGTATTCTAAATAGGTTGACAACGCTGTTGTGACTGCTGTAAAATTTAGGATTTAAAAAAGGAAGCAGCATTTTCTATCGCTGCTACAGTTAAAATAAGTAAGTAATACTTCTAACATAAGGTCAGAGTAGGGGACAAATTTGTTTGCACAACTGCAGGCACGCATATTCACAGTAACCAGGTTAGTAGAGTGCCTGTAAAGTTCTTCTCCGATTACCTGCGTAACCTGGTTTCTTAAATGCATGTAAACGTACTGATTAAGGTCACAGGAGTCCCAATTTTATCCAGCATTGAATGTCACTTTCACTGGTTGAAGTCACTTGAGTTGTACAAACAAATTATAAAATCTTTATCTAAAAAGATTCAGTAAGGAATGGAAAAAAAATACTCTTTTGTTTCCAAATTAACACTGGATTTGAACACACAATAAAAATGCATCTGGACAGCTGTTTCGTACTTTGTTTCGTCAGCCACTTCAACCTCGGTGGGAGCGGTGATGGGAGCGTTGGAGTGTCCGGCTGTGGGATCATCAGTGTTCAGCTCTCCATTCGTTGAGCTCATCACCTGCATGGGTAGAAAAAGGACACCAGACTGTTCACACACACATACACTTGGCGCCACTGCTTGCAGGGTGGAGATGAACATTCACATAAAAATATGTAACCTTGATTATCTCAATTAATCTGCCCTTTCAGGTAAGTAGAGCAGCTTGGTATGTAACCTGGACATTTTTTTCATGTCTTGCAGCAATCAGTCCCCCTGTTCATACCACCCATTAAGAGGACTATTTCTAATGTTCTTGCAATGTTAGAAATGGGGGACAAAATCCAGAGGCCTCGATCTGTGCAAATATTCAACTAAAGCTAAAATGAGGTATCAGTAGTTTGAGTGAGAGAATATATTTCAAAGTTATATTATAACCACTTTGTGTTACTATCTGCAGTGCAGCACAGCATGGAAACAGTGTCTGTGAAAACAAAGAGGGAATTTCATACTAAAAAGACACACATGATTTAACTAACCCAGACTGCTGCAGCCTCACATTAGCTTCAGATAATTTTGTGACACATTTTTTCAGACTGTAAATCCGGGCCCCCCACCTCTTCCATTGGGAGAGCATTAAAGCAGGAGAAATGATAATAGCAAAACAAAACCTGTTTCCATGTGCATTTAGCATGTGAAATCTGTTTTAGGACAGCCGTAAAAATTGTGAACCTATCCTTTAAAAGATGCAATTCTATCAGCCAACCCAAGGTGGCATATTTGTGCCAGATTTACTCTGGAGGCCTCTGTTTTCACACAACACAGAACTGGCCTTTTGACACAATGAATATATGGAAAAAAGCAAAACAGATTGTATTCATAGTTTTGATTGCTCTTCAGTATTTGTACTAATGAGGAAACTGAAAAGAAAAAAATGTACTTTGTTGCTTTTGGCCTATCAGTTTCTGTGTTTTTCTAATGACTTAAACTTTATTTCATGAGGTGGCTGTTTGATGTCTTTGCATGGCCCTTCCTGTGGGCAGCGTTCAGCAGATGAGGCGAATGAAGCAATGAGAGCAAGCAGAACAGGCAAAGCACTGACACACGGGGATTCAAACAGTCTGATGCAGACACACAGAGAGAGTCCAGAGCACAGAGCACCTGACAGGCAGGCAGTGTGGGGTCAGACACATACAAAACTACGTGGATTCATGCATTTGCCATCAGAGCAGCAGCAGCAGCAGTACCTGAACAGAGCCCCCCAGCCTCTCAGCTGTGAGGTGCGACCCCAGAGTCTCCTTATTGGTCACTGGAGTGGGCTGAGACTCACTTCCTTTGGGCTCGGGTGACTTGATGCAAAGAGCAAAAAGGGTTGAGGCAGGTGGTTGAGAAGTGGTGAGAAAGAGGATGGCGGAAAAGAAGGTTGTGGGGTGAGGGGTCGAGGGTTGAGGGTGAGGCAGTGTGGTGGGGGGGCGGTGAGGGCAGAGGTGTGGAGGGAGGAAGGACAAAGGGAGTGAACGAAAAAAAAAAAAGAAAAAAAAATTATAGAAGACATCTTCCAAGCAGAAGCAGGCTTGTTAAGACAAACTATGTTAAGAGAGGAGTAGAGGGAAGCAAAAATTTATGCGAAGCACATATCAACACACTAATAAAGTCATGCAGGAGTAAAAAAAAAACAGCCTTGATCACCTCTGCTAGGACTGCAAATTCAATACAACACAGACACTTATCTATGATATTGGGCATTTGGGTAACAGCATTTTTTTTTTTTATCTGTTTTCATTTGCTGTATTTTTTCTCTTTCCACCAACAAATTCAACCTTTAACTACAAAGACAGACAGCAGATGTTTTCCTTTGATACAGCTGACTGCACTTTTAACCAGGATGTTACAGGTTTTTACAGTAATGGGCGTTGTGCACAGTACTAGAGGTGGTGCTCTGCGAGCTTCAAAGTGCTGCAGGTTGATATCAAGCCAATCATGTTAAATGTAGAGCAGTAAAAAGAGGCTAGAGTCCACTGTAATAAGTCCATCATAAAATCTAATGCATTCCCTGTATGGCTTTATAGGAAACAATGAGTCAGACTCATCTAGATCAACAGCCATGATTTGTGTTTATCAGACAAATTTCATGGCTGTTTCTACTAAAACTCTTGACTTATTACCCCTCTACTAAATCAAACAAACAAAACAAGGCTCGGTTTGCATGCCAATAAAAAGGAATTAAAAAAATAAAATAAGTCCACACTTTGTCACATACTAAGCATATAGCTTGTCATTACTAGTATGAACAATGCAGTTTTGCATTTTCAACTCATGCATGCAATGACTGGATTACAGTGGCAAAGTGTGAAGAATAAACGGTGCTTTGTTTCACAGCTGGAGCAGGAGAGCCTGCCTCATGATGGTGCGTGTCTGTTAATTCACTAGTAAGGCATCAAACATTGCCTAACAAAGTATTTGAGGAAAGGTGATGTCAACCGCCAAGCAGTCAGACTGTAGACGGGAACAGGAATGAAGGAGGAACTGAACGGCAGCCATTTTCTCCAGGAAGCTGATTAAAGTTGGACACAACAAGAGCAGCCTGGCAGAGGAACTTGAATGACAGGGTTGGCTGGCTTGTCGGTCAGTTGGTTGACAGATTGGTGGGTGGGTGTGCTGTTTGTTGTGTTTTAATGCTGATGACCTCACCTGGTTTTTGGTCTGCTGTTGTGCTTTGTCTCTACTGCTGGGCTGCACGGGCGTGTCACTGGGGATGGGGCCTATCGGCGTGGGCTACAGGAAAAACAAGGACAGCACCAAAAAGACAATTTAAAGGAAATTAATGACTGAAATGAAAACTACGTTGTTGTACTTAGCAAAAAGGTAAAAATATTCAACACCCACAATGTAAGTAAATTTACAAAGCAGGGTTTGCAAAAAGAATTTGTCAGTGACAAATAAATACAGTGAGAGCAATAAAGCAACTGCAGTCGTCAGACTCGATCAAATCAAAGGATTTCAGAGGGAAAAGAAGGGGAGGATAAGTGGATTCAGTAAGAGCCACTCACAAGTGATTTGCCGACCCAGTCATATTCATAGTCAAAGACATAGCCGTTCCTGTCAAACAGGTCAGTGAAGAGCTTCCTCAAGTAGTCATAATCAGGCTTCTCAAAGAAGTCCAGCCTCCTCACATACCGCAGGTAGGTGGCCATCTCTTCTGTAGCAAAAGAGAAGATATTGTTAAATTAGAAACCAGGTTGGAGGAAGAAATTAAACAACACATCAGACAAAGGAAACTGGTTGGTTTTACTGACCAGGGAAGCTTTCACAAAGCACTTCAATGGGCGTCGCCCGTTTGGTGTCCCCAATTTTCTGATATCTCTCCTTTAAAGTGTCCGCCTAGAAGGGAGACAGGAAAAAATACATATTACACTCAAAATTTTATCAAATATACAGGTGCGGCTGTATGCACAGCACTGGGGCCTTGTGTTGGTGAAAATCGCATTTGTCTGCCATGGTACTGCACTCATGGAAACCCTTGTTCGGTACAATTCTAGACCACTTTTGTCACCAGCTACGGCAGTGACTCAAAACAGGACTTGTAGCATTACAACTATGTAAACAACAGAACAGCAGTCACCACAACAACTGCAATTGTGTCCATGTCAGAGGATTGAGGTGTCAATTCATGTCCATTATGTCACCTGTCTCCAACCATCCCAGATTCATCCCACAATTTTTATACTTGACAAAGAGCATTATCTTGCAGTAAGTCACCTTGGGGCCACATACTGTAAATTCCCTGAATGGATAATTATTTTCTGCTATGATATAATGTGGCATCACAGTCTCAATCCATAGAAGTGAACAGACCTACTTCATACTAGTTGAAAGCATCTGAAATGGTTTCACTTCACCCACTGGCCTGTACATTTTAGGTTTAGAAAAGTTCTCATATTGTCTTGTGTTGTTCGGGCAACACACTCAATCTACCATTGTTGACTACCAACAGGGATTCACTAGACCAGAAAAACTCCATACAGGCGTGTGGACAACTCATTGTGAGTTTCATATTTGGTCACTGTAGGACCTCATTGTATTTTAATGCTAACTGTCATGCTGTGTGTTGGTGAGAACTTGTTTTGGCCTGAGCCACCGACATCCCCCACATTCATGCATCCCTCACATTCATCTACCACAATCTTCCTCCCACGTAGCAAATGTTCAGATGAGGCGTCCTGTCTTCTAGTTCGTTCTATGTACACCTTTGATATCAATGACTTTTAAAAGCCCTGAAACTCTGTGCAGCTATAACCTGCCCTCCAGGAGCTTGTCCTGTGCTTCTTTAAGCTTTCTCAATTCACTGTTGAAATGCAAAGCATTGTCACATGTGACTGTTCATGTAACATCACATATGCAAATATGAGGGAGGGCCCACATCCACAGGGACAGTCCCTATTTTCTACTCACTGATGTAAATATTTGATTGTAAGCACCTCAGGTGAATCCAGTCATGATATAATAAAAACAAGTGGTGTGAGGCCGAAATGCACACAGAAAGTCTTTAGGATATCAGAGAAGATAATCAGTTACACTTCTAGTTACTGTAGATCTGTAATGTAACATAGTTTTGAAGAATTTAAAAAGGAGTTTAAAAAAGGTGTAAAACTCTGGTCTGTGGTTTTCAGGTGATCTGGGGGGACCAGCTTTAGCCTTTGCTGCCATCAGCTGTAATAACAGCAGCAGCAGCAGCAGGAACTCAATAGTAGAAACTATATTTCATGATCTTTCACAAACAAACAAGTGCGATCAATAATGATTTGCAAATTAATGGATTTGATGACATAACAGTTTGTTGGCAAGTGGGTACAACAGATACATCAGTTGGGAGACCAGTGTGAGAGGATGAACTCCAGGCTCTCTGCTCCTAAGGTCATGTGAATGATAGATATGAAGGAGATACTGAATTGAGGAGCACAGCACAAAAAGGTGCATCTCTATGCTGAGCATTAAGAGGATTGAAGGGGCCTGATGTAAATCAGTATGTGTCTATATTTGGATGATGTCAAACAAAAGCCACAGTACCTTCAGGCCCTGCCAGGGGAGGCTACCTCGGAGGAAGTACATGAACATGTGACCCAGTGCCTCCAAATCATCCCTTCTGCTTTGCTCTGTAACAAACAAAAATTAGGTTACCTGTGAGAAACCAGTTCATTTTATAGCCAGCAGGCAAGGTTAACAGGCGGCTGGGCGGTAGGAAATACAGCACGACTGCACAATTATCTAGGAGTTATAATTAACCATGTACAGTATCAAAGGCCATGATTAAGCCATAGAGAGCAAACAGTCTGAAGATTTAAAATCCCGAAAAACACTCCACCCAGTGATAAGCACTCTGAGAAGTAGAGGGGAAGATCTAATCAGTTCATTAGGGAAATCACCTCCTGAGGTGACTGGTTGGATTTAAAAATTGCAGACTGTTTACTCTCAATGGCACATGGCTGACAACCCCTGCCACAGAGGAAACAGCAGAGTGAATGAAGAGGAGATTTTTCTAAAAAATTTTTTTACATCTCCATTAAACTGAATGTAAATGGAACCAAAACTTGCCTATGTGCATTTAAAGGGCTAATCAAACCACAGCCATGTTCCTGAGAAGTTCTTACCCTTTCCCAAATGTGTGTTAATGCTCATGTAGCGTGCTGTCCCAGTCAGACTCTTGTGCTCCCGGTAGGGGATGTGTTTTTTGGTCTCGGGGTCTATGTACTCTTTGGCCAGACCAAAGTCAATGATGTGGATTGTGTGCTGCCTCTTGCTTCCTGGCCGCCCAACCAGGAAATTTTCAGGCTTCACATCTCTGTATATCAGACTCTTGGTGTGAACATACTCCATCCGCGTTATCTATAAGCACAGTAAATAGATATAGATTAGCATTTGGAATTTTAATCAATCAACCGTCCTGGCATTTAATACATAAAAATATTATGACAACAAGAATGAAAACTAAGATTCAGGGCTGCAACTAACGATTATTTTCATAGTCTTCTTTAGTTGTTTGGTCTATAAAATGTCAGAAAATTATGTCGATCAGTGTTTCCCAAAGCCCAAGATGTTGTCCTCAAATGTCTTGTTTTGTCCACAACCCAAAAGATATTCAGTTTACTGTCATAGAGGAGTAAAGAAAAAAGAAAATATTCACATTTAAGAAGCTGGAACCAGAGAATATTGACTTCTATTTCTAAGAAATTTACTAAAACCAAGTACCAAAATAGTTAGTGATTAACTTAGTAGTTGACAACTAATTGATTAATTGCAGCTGTGGAAAGTATATGAACATATACTTTATTTCTATTCCCATGTGTTCACCCAAACACACAGACCTGACATGTTCACCTTGTTTAGCATAAAGCACCTTAGAATTCCCTCCAAAACAAAAACATAGCCTATTCAAGCTGCACTATATTTTCCGTAATGCTAGCTTACATTAATATAAAGCTGCTCTCCTCTTTCAGGCCTTACCAGCTGTATGGCTATCATGAGGACGGTCTTGAGGGAGAAGGTGCGGTCACAGAGGTCAAACAGGTCCTCTAGACTGGGCCCAAGCAGCTCCAGCACCATGGCGTTGTATTTCCCGCAAGGACCAAAGTAGTACACCTGAGGGATTCCCTCTTTGAACAGACAAAAACACAAAGTTAGTGGACTGTAGTCAAATATTGCTCCATCAATTAAATGATGATGTTATTGAACAATCTTTCTCTTTAATGGGTACTAAATTTCTACTCGTCTCACAGTGAGTTGGTTACTTGATATGCAGACAAGGGGGCAGAGGGTTTAGAAAACTGCAAATACACTAGTATTTGTGATATATCCCATATTTTAAAAAACAAGGTTGAATCAAATATACAACACTGCAATGTTTTACTGTATTCTTGACATGGAAACATGAATAAGCTTTTGAGGTCATTAATACTTTGTGACGCAAGTGCACTGTTTCACAACTTTTTGTTGCCCAAGCTCCCTTTTCTTCTGTCATCTTTGGGTTATATAAACCAAAACTAACACAAAACATTATTTCACCAGTGTTGCCATTTTGTAATTTACTTAAAACTTAACTAACTGAACTGAATCATCATGCTGGTTTGTTGATAAAGTGCGGAGGAGACGCTTCACTGACAAACTACACTTCAGTTTGCTTCCCTCAACAGGTTTTTCATAAACAAGGGTGGCTTACAGATTCTTCCCCTCTGCAGTAGGATTAAAGGGAAAGGTGTCTAATAGAAACACCAGTGACGGTGAGCAGCACACTGACGACAACTGTAAATACCCTTTGCTACTGGAAACCACCACACCCATCTTGAGGTAATGTGTATGACTTCGAAAGAATGTGGATAGATCAACCCGGCAGCGTGTTCTATCGTTATGTATATCAGAGGGAAAACTGGGGTGTGGCCGAACACAACAGTATGTCCTTCTGATGGATCAATAAAGCACATACTAAGAGTACCGTTAAACAGTTCTAATTTTGCAACAAACAACAACAACAAAATGAACTGCTGAGGCCTGCGAGGAACCAGCATCATATTTCATACTCTTAAATGACGTGAAATACCTCTCTGGAATAAAGTAATGCTACGTAGACACAAAACCCAGACTCATTCATCTGGCATAATAATCTGTCAGCCCCCCGCCACTGAAATTTCAGGTTCTAACTTTCTTTTTGTTTGCCTGAGTATCCACTACTATCAACTGTCAGAAAAGTAGCAGCCTAACGCTTCTCCCACGATCAACCACAGTCTTTGCTACCAGGTTAGTACATGTCCAACTGGTTGTATCACCAAGAAGCCATCCTAACACCTTTGAACCATTCTGTGGTGCCAAATGCCTACAGTAGTATGTATATACTCTATATCTCCCTGAAAGTTCACCAACCATGCAAAACCAGAGCTGAGAGAGAAAGACAGTGACACAGACAGATAAACAGCCAGTGAGATTAAGATACAGATTAAAAAACAGGATAGAGATTGACAGAATGGGCAAGCATATTTGTACTGGGCTTGTCTGTAATAAAAAATAAATGTGTGATAGTGATAAAGGAGAATTGAGAATGGGCACAGCACTGTGTGTACAAGCACTCAGTTTGGATTTGGATTTACCTGATCACCCAACAGGGCAGCAGGACACACTGCGCATGCATGAATGCAAAGTGACACACGTACTCTTATACATGTATGTACACACACACACAAAACACACACCTGTCTGCCCTTTAGTTTCTAGGATTTTCCTGGTAATGATGCCCCATGACAGATGAGGGAGTGACTAGAGATCACTGGGAGGCTGACTCATCAAAGCTTGGCCCAAATGCAGAGGACATTTAAAGCAAATTCTCACAAGGGGAAAGCACAGAGTGTATTATGATCTTTTGTTGGTAAATGTGAGCAAAGATTGGCACTGGGAATGGCTGGTGGACCAGGGCACATTTTTGGGCTGAGACTGTGTGAGATGTGCAATTCAGTGACAGCCAATAAGCAAACTGAATCACTTCTGTGATGACAAACAACTCTCATTTGAACTATTATATAAAGTTATCTAAAATACATCTGTGTTCAGCATTATGGGATTTGCTCTGGTTTCACTGAAAGCTAATGTCCCGTGTGTTCTGAAAGATGCTGTCTTGACAATTTGAGACAATCCAACCTATTGTATCTGCAGGCAGGCCTGGCCAGGCGACGTAAGAGGGAAGGCTGCATCACGGCAGCTGAAGACAATGTTACCCTACAATAAATGTCAGAGTTAAGGGCCAAAGAGGAGAAGGCTGAAGGAGGGAGGAGAGAGGAGACGGCCACAGAGGAGAATGCATATTAAAGATTGGGGGGGGAATAAAAAATGTTTTTATTAAGTTAATAATTCATTCTACCAGATATTTGCTGCTTTTAACCTCTGCAGCTCCATAAGAATTCAGTCAAGCAATGGTTTAGCTTATTTTAGAAAAACTAGGGCATTTTCTGACTCACAATTTCATGCATTCATTCATAGCATGCAAAACCAGTAATGTGTAGTAGAGGTCGACCGATTAATCGGTCGGACGATTAATCAGACGATTTTTGGCATTTTTTAACATAATCGGCATCGGCCAATATCCAAGTATATCAAGCCGATTATTAGGCAGGCACATCTGTGGGCAGCCTAGTGTTGTCGTGGAACACGTGTTTGACGCGCGCTGCCGCTAGAGTCATTGTCCAGCTGAGTGAGCAGCAGACCTCATCCAGTGCCTAAGGAGCTAACGGCAAGGATTCAATTCTTATTACTCCTTTATATTTAATCAAAAACTTTTGATATGTTACTGCCAACTTCGAGAAAAAACCTGAATAAGACACATGACATTCGGCTAATTTGGATCGTAGTTGAAGTTGCATTATCACAGAAGAGTTGCTATCATGTCACAATAAGTAAGCAATAATTTTGCAATTACAGAGTGAATCTGAGACTTTTATTTGTTCTGTTTGTGTGTCTTATATTTGAGAGGGTTGTCACTCAATGCAGAGAAATAAGTAATAAAAAAAGAGACCAACGCACTATAGGCTAGTGACAGACTGGCTTGGCTTTGCTTTGCTAACGGGTAGCTACAGACAGACCCGGTGCTAATACGGCACTGGAACCTTAACGACCGTTATCTACCGCACCAAATATCAACGCGGATTTCTGTGCTTCAGTTCGGTGCAAATAGAGGTTAAAAACCAAGCAAATATCGGCCAAAATAATCGGCAGCATTAATCGGCCATCGGCCGACCCGGATTTCAAAAGATCGGTATCGGTATCGGCGTGAAAAAAACCATATCGGTCGACCTCTAATGTGTAGATAGAAATCAGATAGACTAGACATCAAGCAATGGTTTATATTATGTTCCACAGCTGGCCTAATCTTCTTTCTTACATTGCATCCTCTTGAGTTTTGACTGCTTGACATAAATACATTGCGTTGTATAAGCTGAAATATTTATCATTCAGTCCTACTAACATGGACTCAAAGTTTTGTCAAGCCATAATTTCAAACAAGTATAACTGTGAAATAATAATGTCACAAATTAATCAATTTCAAAAATTGCATTATCTTGCCATTGTGAAATGTGACGATTTATGGCATGCTACTTTTATAAATCATGACAAAATATTTAATTTACTAATAAGTGTCATAATATATTTTTGCAACTTCATATTTTTATTGTTACGTGTTATTTGTTGCTATAGTGCATCTATCTCTCTGGTGTACTTTCTGATGACAACTTCTTTTACTCCTGAGGATAATCCTACAAAAATAAATTGATAATAAACTGATTTTTTTCCCTGTAAAATAGAAAATAAGAGACCATGATTTGCATGAAATAATATTATCAACATAGACCCTGTATCACTGACGTGGCATATGACTAATAAATTAACCTTGATATCACGCCATCAAAAGCCTTGATGGGGCTCATGAATATTCATAGGCATGCTGATACACATCACTGAGTAATATTCAAGAGAAACAGTGAAGAAGAAACCGCTTACTCCCAGGGTGACTAGTACCTGCTTCAGCACATTTGAATATGACAATTAGTAGTGCTGCTGTTACTACCAAGAGCAACTGCAAAGCCAGGTCTATTGTCGATTGCTGGGAGGCCGGATTCTTCTCAACAGCTGGGATCTGTTCAGGACAGGAGAGAATTAACAGTGTGCAGCTAAGCTCCTCCTGGGCCTTAAGCGCTGAGACATATTTGAGGCTCTTGGGTTGTTCAGGACTAACAGGGTCATGTGCCCATTTAGCCAAGTTGACAACATAAGTAGATTTAATCTATCGCCTTGACTCCTCCCATGCTAGACCATCGACTTTGTATAAAGATGGATGACATGACAGCTCCCCAGAAGTAAAGCCCAAACATCTCGATCGCTGGCTGCAGTATAGTATAGTACATCCGCCCCCTCCATGTTAACAGATTAGACAGAGGCCAATAAACATGTCAAATAAATTTTGGGTTTAATTAGTTACTTGCCGCTATAAAGCTGAGACCTGCTCGTGACTGAGTCGATCGGTTGCACTATATGTTCAGGATCTCGATACTGCAACTCCAACCCAGATCACTACAAAAAAAAATTTACAGTGTGAGGAAGTGGAGACGCGCCATCCACCTTTATATACAGTCAAGTGAGCCTTCCTGTCATATCATCGTGAAGTAGCCAGTCATCAGTTGGAGACAGGACCTCTCTGCTAGGGCTGGACGATATGGCCAAAACTATTATCACAATAAAAAGTTTCACGTCTTTCGATATCGATAATTATCGCGATAAGTATCAAATAGTTATTTCTTTCAAGTTCAAAGGCAGATTTTTCTCCTGAGTGAAAGTTGAAGAAACCTGACGGTTAATTGTGGTTTAAAGCTTTTTTCAGTCCTTTTTCCTCAACAAAATAAACATCTTATTAAATAAATTAAGTCCTAATTCAGGTATGTTTTAAGTGAATCAAATCAAACATTTATTGAATATTTATTGAACATTTGTTATATTGTTATTGAAAAAAATTATATATTTATTGTTATTGTTTTATTGTCCAGCCCTACTCTCTGCTCACTTGTAAGTTATTTTGTAGCTCCATTTTTAGATGATAGCTAATATAATAGAAGTGCCTCTGTCTCTGGCTCAGTCGATGTATAACCTTAACACCTTAAATATATTAAGAATCAGCTTTTAGCAGAATCCATTGTCAATTGATTTTTGTTTTTTGACCATTTTTAGTGCTTTATCTCGGCAGCTTAATATTCTGACTCTGGTTCAAACTATCATGTGGCTAGTGAAAGGCTAAAACATTATGGGAGGGAATTTAACATTCATCATTAATTGTGTCCATTGATTTCCACACAGTCATTGTCTGCCAGTCACAGTTTGGCAACATTATGTGACACGTCACACCAGCTGACTGATCCTGAACATTTTTTGATAATAGTTTGCACAGGTCAATCTGAAACCACTAGTACTATATGAAGATTATGATACAGGACGTGGAACAAACAAGTATCATAGAGATTTCTTTCTTTTTGTAAATACCCTAAGACCCTAGACTGGGCTCTGCTACTGAACATGTTAATCTGAATATTTATATTGTTGTTTTACCATGTGCAATTTTCCTACCCAATTTGGTTATCCTACCTATCATATTTCCTGTCTCTTGTTGTATGTAAGGACTAGGACAATTTTTATATATTACACAACCCCCTCAGTCAATAAGACTAAAGCTGAAGGCCAGCAGTGGTCTCAGTGGAAGGAATGGTCATTATATGTTTAATGCACCAGAGGAAAGCCTGGACTATAGAGGAATCCTTTGCTATGATCAGTAGAAATGACACAGGAGATGACAATTAAAGTTACTGCTGAGTTTATGTATGTGTGGACATGTATTGTGTAAGATTAATCTCAGAATGACAAATTAAAACATGTAGCCATAAAGAAAAATAAGCCACACTCAGTAAGCAACACACATTCAAGCGTTTCTCTGAACTGTGCTGGCAGCACACAGTTAATCGTGGAGGCAGAGGATCCTGTGGCTAGGGAAGCTATCCAAATAGACACACCATAAAGGCCCAACTGCTTGTAGAGGGCCACCTATAAATATCCAAGGGCTGCCCTAATGCCCCACCTCCTTATCAACAGTGTAGGCCTGTTGCACTGGCACAAGGAGCCAAGAAGCTGGCACGTGTCACGAAATTAGACCATGACATACACACTTATCAGATGGAGAAGGATCACTGCAACAAGAAGACTGCGCCACTGGTAATAGTGTGTGTGAATAACAAACACACATATACATACAAGCATACACACATAAATATATAACACATGAGTTTTCAAATCTGTACTGTTATACAGTCATCATATAGATCCCACGATCACACTGATGAACACTTCTCTCATACACAGACCTTAAAGGGGAAATACACACTACATCACTTTTTGCATCATCGTCACGATTCTTGTTGGCATATGATGGTTCCAACAAAATTCTATCAAGCTCCTCTCCTGTTGAATTAGGTCCCAGTTTGGTTTCAGGAGGCAGACACCATCTTCACATTTAAGGGTAGGCTCAAGACTTTTCTCTTTGATAAAGCTTATAGTTAGATCTGGCCTAGGTGAGCCTGAACTTTATTTGTTATACTGCATAGCTGTAGAGTCTGGATTCTTAGTTGTAAGACACCTAATGCCCCCATGTTCATGCTCAACACCTGCTGTTAAACCTATTATTGCTATTTGTATTATTTCCACTACCATTACTATTATTTTGTATCTCTGTGTGGAACTTGCATGGTGCCACTGTGTGTTCTGCTCTCTTTTACACCTAACCCATCCCCCCATCTAAGTTTGGTTCAGCCAAATTCTCTGGCCCTTCCTAACCATGACAAAATAAGAAAGACCCCGAGGTCTATCACATATGATATCCCCCTCCCTCTGACTGGGCTAGCAGTTACCTTGCCACGTATAAAGAGCACAACCCTGGATAACTGTAGCTCTAGTTTGTGCCTCTCACACATAGCTACTGGTTGTGCTAGCATTAGCAAGCCTCACAGGTATAGTGGGGGAAACAACATTGTACATGTGTGGTTAGGTCCGACAACTCTACCTCACTGTCCATGCTGTCCACACTGAGGCCTCATCCACACTACTCCCGTTTTAGTTTACAAACGGAGAATTGAAACGAATACGATCTCCGTCCAGACCAGCGTTTTAGCTGCTTTTTGGAGTTTATCTCAGTCTACATTAAAACAACTGAAAACGCACATCTATTGGCCGTTCAGGTACACTGGGCATGAAGCAAATGGTCTATTCCGTAGTTACAGAAGATTTGGCAAAAGAATAAATAAATACAGAGGAAGAATCAGAACAGGTTTTTTTTTTGCATGCACCAATAACGAGCTGGGACCGTTACTGAATGTAACACGGGAGTGTGGCGGAGGAAAACAGACTGGGAGTCGTCGCAATGTAAACAGCGACATACATAGTACAAGTGTAGGCAGATAAGTGTTATTTGCACGATCTAGAATATTTTAATAAAAATACCAAGTCAAAAACCTAGCCTGCATGTCTTTGGACAGTGGGAGGAAACCGGAGCACCCGGAGAGAACCCACGCGGACACGGGGAGAACATGCAAACTCTGCACAGAAAGTCTGGGGGAAACTGGGTTTGAACCCACGACGTCCTTGTTGTGAGGCGACATTGCTAACCACTGTACCACCGCGTACACCCCCGTAGCAAAACATCTCCGTTTTAATTCGAAAACGCAGTAGTGTGGATGGGGCCTGAGATGTGGTCTGTCAGTCTCCTCTGTCTCCTCCAACTACCCTGTTGCATTTTTTTTATTGCTGGGAGGGATGGTTCTGACAGAACTTGAGGGAGAAGTTCCCCTTTAACAGACTAAGTTAGCTTACTTTAGGCTAAATTATGTAATAAAATGTCAACTGAGACTTTGTACCTGAATTTACGCAATTATAAAGGACTTGTCTGGGAGAAGGGACCAAAAAAGAACAGATGGGACATGCAGATGTGGGTGGTTGCAGTGCAAAATGTAGCATGAGTGGGAGACTGCATAGACATCTTGTCTATACCTTTTGCTCTCATCAGTTTTGACTAAGTAAAGGTGACATGATTGCATATGGTTTCTGATTTAAAGAGTATGTTGAGCAACACATGCATCTACACAAACATGACAGGTGAGCCCTTTCAAAAACAACCCGCCAGGCAGTGCTGTGAAAAAAGTCCCGGTCCCTCCCGACCATCTGACTCTGCCTTCGCTCTCACCCTCCAACTAGCTGCCCAGCCAGACCAGATCAAAGAGCTGCTGCCCTGGAGCCACAGCTCTGCAGCATAGTACATGTTCTGGACAGTGCTATAGGAGAGGAAAGACTCTGGGTACTGTAGAGGTGGGATTAGAAAAAGGCTTTCATAGAAAAGGCTTTCCATTGGCATCCATGTGGAAAGATAAACAAACACACACTGTGAAATTTAGCCTCAAGTAGATGGGAAGTTGTGGGAGTTGTGTTCACTTGTCTGTTTATATGTTATATGTCCAAATGCAGATCAATTTGAAAATCTATCCTTTCCTCTCAAATTTTGCCTTCCATCCACACTACCCTTGCAATTTTTACATGCTAAAACTGTTCTTTTCATTGATAGATTCTGTGAATCTGAAAACAAACGTCTCACACTGCAGAGCAGAAAACTGGGCTTTTCTAAAATGAGCACAATATGTGCTGATTGGATGACGACAGAGGAAGACAAATCACATTTGTATTCACTCAAGTTCATTTATCAAAAATGAGAGCCATATCATTTGTTGCAGAATATAATTGTTGATGTAAATAAACTGTCTCACACAAGCTTTAAACCAGTGGCATGTCATAAAAAAATGTCCAAAAAAAAATCCACTCAGCCCAGTAAAATCAACATTTAGCCAACTCCACATTAGAGTGTCAACATTTTAGGGGTTAAACCTTTGTCCTTTTCTTTCTCTCACCCATTTGTTAACTTGTTCTCTTAAAAGGCATCCATTTCCATGCTGCCATTATTCCTGATTACTAACGCCGGTGAACCTGTCGCTCTCATGAGCCTGCCCCATCGTCTGTAAACTGTGCATTAGATTTAACATGAGTCAATCTAACTAAATAAAAAACACATTTAAATCACTGTGATAATAATTATATTCCCTTCTTTAATATCTCAAACACAAAAGCCACCTGAAAACATGTGAGTGGAATACGTTATCACCTTAATCCACCTTAGGGGCACAGGATTGTCTGTGTGTATATTTCTGAATATCAAGTCTGAGTTTTCTCGTTCCTGTGCAGCCCAATCTAATGTGAAAAGGCCCATTCACAACTCATTATGGTGCTGTCTATCAGAGACCAATAATTGACAGACTGCATCTCTCTTACCTGAATTTCCCAATTGTTTGTAAAATCTGTATTCCAAATGGAGTTGTGGTGCCCTGGACTTTATAGGTTCCTGAAAGAGAAGACAGAGAGAGAAAAGAGAGAGAGTGAAATATTACATACCTCACAAATCAATTAATGCAAAATGTCAATATACTTTATTAACAATGACATGTTGCTTGTTTGGCTCTGTTACCCACAAAGGGAATTTATTCACAATGGAGAAAACAGAACTTTATGTATTTGTAAAATATAAAAATAATAAATAAAACTAAATTTAAAAAACTCATTTGAGTAATTCTGAAACATTAATACTTGAATGGCTTTGTGTAGTGTAGACTCACTATAACACCACAAAAGCTTTCAAAAGAGCTTTACCTCAAGTGAAGAAAGTAGTTTCTGAATGACAACCTATCTTATTTTAATGTCTAATAGAACTTTACTTAATTCTCAGGTCAGACTTGTGGGATGTGAGAGGATAAAAAGCAGTTCCAGCTGGGGACCAGCAGGCTTTTATGATGACATGGCTGATAATCAACCCACTGGGACATATTGTCCATTTTATTGCTAGCTCCAGCTTTACAACCTAAAATGTAATCTGATTAACCCCACTCTCGTGATGACAAAAGTATTACAGACTTATAGACAAACGTGAGGAGTAAAGAACAAACACACACCCAAGTTAATTCCTTCCCTTAATCTTCCGTAGCTGGACCACAGCCTATGTTAAAGCCTTTGACCACAATATCAGTAAGCAGTCCCGTTTTCACACACTGCCAACCAATACTGGCTTTACAAAAAAGGTCCACAGATTATTTACACATTATCCTGTTAGTGAAATTGATAAAATAAGCTCCTATATTCCTAACATTAAGAAACAGCCAAATATACGATTTATCTCCATCGTAAGTCAGTAGAATGTAAAAGTTGGTGATATCTGCATTTAAAAACAGTGGGACCAGGACTCGAGACTAACAGCGTCCTGTCGTCTTGGGGACGATAGAAGATGTGTTTGGGACGAAGCGAAATATTCTGTAGGACGCCTCTAGGACAAAAGGGTTTGTGTAGACCTATGTCTTTATTTATTACGATCACTTATCATCATCACAAATAACAAACTGAACCGACCGAGCACTGACTACAACGGAGGCCGTCTTCTCACACTGTTACTACAGTCATGCCAGACTCACACAGCAGGCTAGCTGTTCACCTGTTCCCGCGGGACAGGTCCATCTGTCCTCTCAGTCACAAACGGCTTGCTGACCTCTCAATCGCGCTGTGTAGGCTAGCGTTAAGCGCCACACATCAATCTTGTCATGCAGTGAAAAACAAATCAATATTCTGATAATGGCTAGCGGCGAGAATCCACTCCACTCAGCTGATGAAACTCAGCATACAGCATGATCGTAAAGTAACCCGCACGCACTGAGACGCAGCCAGCAGACTCACTGGTAGAGTTTTGCATTATAAACATCTAAAAGCTGAAGCACAATCTGGCTCTGTTTGGGACTGTGAACTGCACTTTATCGGAGCTGCAGACATTAACATGAGGATTTGCGCTGAGATGTCTGCCTGATTGGCAGTGTTGGATTCGGTTTGTACGGTTTGAAGTGCAGTGCACTTGTCTCATTCAGTACAGTCTGAAGGGGAGCACAGCAGAGTATAGGTCAGGTAGACTTTTAAAAAAAGATTATGAATTCTCATTAAATAATGATGTTAGTCTCATAATATTACGTTATGAACATGAGCAGAAAAGCTTGCTGAAACAAAGTCCAGGAGTTTATAACTAAATTGAAATTAAATAATTTATCATCATCGAGGTAAAAAGGTACCCCAACAGATAACTTTTCAGTTTTGTTTATAAATCTTTTTAAATCATTTATTTTGTCACTAACAACTATAGAGGATAATAAAGTAAAGAAACAACATTTAGATTTTGTGACACTTTACGTTAATTTCAGGACGGTTCCGTGACGGAGGTCAAAAAAGTTAGTCTGGAGCCCTGTGTGGGACAATTGACCCTTCGCTAAGCCATGCTCCTCTTAGTTACTGTTGCTAAGTCCGACAAACTGTTAGACCTGTCGGACTTTATTCTATTACTGAACTCCATTTATTGGAAAGATATGGCAAAAGAAAGCTAGAAAACAACGCCTTTAGAGTTAATTATAGTCAATAGAGCGCAGTCATGAAAGTGTCGGACCTCAGTTAGAGCGAGTCCTATACTACACTGTGATTGGCTAGCTGCATATCTGGGGCGTGGCTTAGCAAAGGTCAATTAGTCAGGAATGACACACAGAGTGTGAAGCTTGCCTAAAATTGTATTTTGCCTAGCAACTTAGGTGGTTGAAGTGAGATTTAATCTGAAAAGTTGTTACCCTGGTGCATCTAATACCAAAGCAATTTATTTTAAATTATATAAATTCAAAGCTGTTAAGCTCCCACATTCACTCCATTAGGCCTTTATCAAATTTCTCCTCCAGTGTTCTGCTAACACATAAGAGTGCGCACACAAAGTATGAGCCGTGTTCAACACAAAAAGGGACTTGCCATCCTTTTACGATTATGGGTAAGGTATGATGAGCTCTGTGGTTTCACTTCAAGGTTTAATCAAAAAGATTAAAACAAAAGAATTGACCAACATTGCTTTACAGTGTGCCAAAATATCCCACACATACATTGCTTATTTAATCAATAGTCCTAACTGAGGTAAAAAAAAAAAAAAGAATAATAAAAGGTCTCCTTAGATATTCTTCAATTTTGTCTCAGTCTTCAACAAAACAATACGTGATTCATCAAAAACAATTTAAGCTACGGGAGTAGACAAACAGAGGTGGAGCCCCATGGAGTCCTCTCTATATTGTTTTAAGTAGGTGGGTCTGTGTCACCACAGATGCAATGTTTTTAGTTTTTTTGGTTTTTATTTTATATATATTTATTTTGTATTTAATAATAATAAATTAGATTTATATAGGGCTTTTCTAAGTACTCAAAGACACTTTTACAATGATTTATCACAGTGATACTGAGAATGATTAATCACACCAATATCTGGCATTTTGAGATAATCGCCATTGGATGATGCCTGTACTCACGAGCCCAATAAACAAAAAAGTGTGTGAACACATCTGCAGGCAGCCTCGTCAGTGTGGCTGCTGTGGAATGATGTTAGTAGGCCTATTGTGTATTTGTTTGACACCACAAGAATTAATGTGATTACTTTACATTTTACATTTATCTGACGCTTGATTGCTATTCATGTCAGAGATCGCACGCCTCTGGAGCAACGAGGGGTTAAGTGTCTTGCTCAGGGACACAATGGTGGATGGGGGATTGAACCTGGGTCTCTCACACCAAAGGCAGGCGTCTTATCCATTGCAAGGTATCCATCACTTCCCCATTATTATTCAGTCATTTATTTGTTACAGGGTACTTGGCTATAAAAACGTTTGCAGTGGGGCAACTTTATACGGTATTATTTAGTAATTCATTTAAGAAAGCGTGGGTGGGCTGACGCCTGACGGTTGGGAAATTTTAACATATCACCCAACTCTAGTACATCTTTCAGCTTTTATTCCAGATTGCCAGTCACTGTAGACTTACAATACCAAAATCATCCCCACCTCTGACACTCATCATCTCATCGGGGTACATGAATGAAATTCAGCTTGTTTTCAATTTCTAAATATCATGCGTAATGGCTATAAAACATGTATACATATATACACACATGTATATTTCCCTTCCAAAAATGTTTCAACAAGTTTTGTTTATGAGGTCTCATTTACTCTAGCATAATAGACATTGTTGTTTATCAAATAATCCAGGAAAAGTTATAGATTAGTGAAGTAATGTAACAGATTGCCTTTACTGTACGCTGACTGATTATGCTTACTGTTGTGTGTAGTCACCATTCTGAGCCAGGAAAATCAATGAACTGGCTAATGATAATGATCAGTTTTAATGTTTGCATGTCTTCTGAGGATGGGAAATGCAGGAAATGCATGTGGCATTTGCAGGCAGGAAATATGCAAAGGCTAGCAAGACTTTTAATTTTTATTTATCATGTTCAAATTCATGCAAAATGTTACCCTGTGAAAACAAACTAAAAAATAAACTAAGCGTTTCACTGCAGGGAGCGTTTACAATGCCCAGAATGCATTTCTGTGGCTGCCCACCACACTACTTCTGTTATTCTCAGAAGAATAATCTTATCTATCTCAACACTTACAACAAATATGCTTTAAAGTGACTGCAGTGGTAGGCCTTTACTGAGAGGCTACTTAGGGAAGTATTAATATCAGCAAGGTTTAGTTACTGTACATGACCACAAATAGATTCAATAAAGTGTAACAGATTGCAACATTCCCAGCACTTCATTAAACAGTTTTAACACTTTGATAAAACAGAAACAATGAATGATAAAAAAAGGTCATAAAACCAAGGAGTATAAAGTTGGATTTAAGAACAACAACAGAGTTCTGGCAAATGCTGCAGGAACTATGCAGTAGGACTTAATTATTATTTTCATTGTCATTGCCATCAATCTGTCCATTATTTTCTTGATTAATAAGTTTGTTGGTGAAAAACGTTTCACAAGATGATGTCCTCAAAAATATTCACATTAAAAAAGCTGGAAGAGTATTTTGACTTTTGCTTCTTAAATTATTCTAATCATGAATTGATTATCTAAATAGTTGGTTATTAATAGTTGACAATCGATTCATCATAGCAGATCTACTATGTAGTATGTAACAGTTTGGCTTTGGTTTGCAAGCACAACTAAGACACGGCAGCCATACACAAGTGACACAGTTGGATAGGCTTATAATGATTTGAGCAAAAATATGTAATAAAGATGAATGGGGTGACTACATACATGTTTTTGTACAATCTATGGAAGAAGAGATGCATTCTGCTGCTCCCATATGATGCCCACATGGAAAATATGGATCATATCTCTCTACAGAAACCAATGGGGGATCTCTCTCTCACACACACACACACACACACTAAATACATGGTTTTCTATTATGTAGGGGGGAAAACGATTTTAGCATCCTGCTCCAACATGAT